TATTAAATTGATAACATTTCAGACATTGTTATAAATATTTTTATATATTTCGATTTTTCATCCAAATGTTCGAACTGTTTTAAATTCGAATTTGTTATTGCGTATTGGTTCGATTATAGAATGATCGTAAACGATCCATAAAATTGATCAAATTGAAAATAGTTCGTTTGATTCTCAGCAATTCTCATCATTCTCGGCGGTAGGTGTTATATAACAATTACTATGGTTGTTGAAATACTGAATATAAATGGGGTTTGCTTGCAAAATTTTCGCGGGCGAAGTCGCGGGTAACAGCTAGTATACTATATATAGATATAGATTATTAAGAAATCAAATAAAGTACCGATATGGCTGAATGTTCTTTGAATCTTAATCAAATACTTACAACACATATTCATAGAAATGATTGATATATCTTCTTATAATTTTTTTTTATTTGACAGCAAAATTACGGTCTTGGTTTGCCCAAAGGTTCTCCGTTTGAGAAACAATTCACATCATCTATTTTAAAGCTAAGAGAAGAAGGATATATGGATTTTTTGAATAAACGATGGTTTATCAATAATTGTCCAGGTAATACATAAAATTATCTCTAAAAGTCAGGGTGTGGAGTCGGAGTCGGAGTCGTCAAAAAACCCGCCGACTCCGACTCCTTTTTATTTCCCGACTTGTTATGTATTTATATATAAAACGGAAAAGTATTGGAATCGCGTCAAATTTGACCCGCCAACTTTTTTTTTCAACTTCACATGTTTGGAGACCTCCCGAACCCCTCAAAAAAGTCAATAAAAGGGGAAAAATTCGCGCCCGTGTGTGTTGGAGTCTAATTTGTTTAATTTCTTTATTTTCTCTTCTGAAATATTAAATAACTAGCAGGTGGGTCCGGCGTTGCTCGGGCAAAAGTAACGATAACTAAGATAAAGATTATTACGTTACAGTAAACCTTACCCGTTTTCACAGAATGCAAGAATTGGGTCCCCTTGTTTCCAGACTAATTAGAGAATNGTAAATAATCTGTCTGTGCCAAGAGCTTGCACCCAGAAGAAATGTGTTGTATAGTTTCTGGCATGATGTGACATTTTCTGCATGTGTCATTTGTGAGTGTTGTATCTTTGAGTATGTGTTTTCTGTAGTTTTTAGTATTTATGACCTGATCCTGTATGGCATTCATGAATCCTTATTATTATTATTATCATTATCATCAACCCGTCTCGATTATATATTAGATATCTCAGAATGGGTAAAGTTTAAGAAATGAAATAGGCACTGTAGCTTGAGTATAAAGGGGCACTAATATTGTTAAATTTTGGTTCTTAATTAAAGATCGACAGGGTGAAGATATAAAAGTGGTCATGTGTCATAGCTCTTAAAATTAATGAATATTTTACTCGTTATTAGCGTTCAAAATTAAAAAAAAAAAAAGAATAAAACTCGTCTCTATCCTCAAAGTAAGTTTTTTTGGCATTTTATAATAGTAGAGTAAAACCCGTTAAGATGTTCTCGCCTAAGATGTTAGAATGTATATGCGGACACGATTTAGTTCAACCACTTTGACGCTTAATAACTAACTTTTGTGTTAAACCATCTGACTCCGATTCTAACCACTCAGACCACAGAAATTATTAGGCTTCAAACGGGGTGAACAAATCATTCCCCACACACACAGTATAACATCCACACATGTAGAAAAAAAACCTCGAAACTTTTGCATATCTCGAAATTTCAAGGTGTCCTGAGTCCAAAATTGTAAAAATTTTGAAAGGATCATTTTTTGACCGAGCGTTACATTTTACCTCTGTTATACATAACAGCCGGAAAAGTAAAAGTTATCGAATATAGGCCTATATTTATGTTACTTAGAGGAGTCTTTTAGCTTTGGAATAAAAAGTTTCTACGTTCTATCTTTATTAGATCTCTATTGAATCTTTTATTCTGAGGTCACGTGATGACATCAGAATTTCCGGGTCTCTTTCGGTAACAAGTCCGCCCCTGGTCGGAGTCGGAGTCGGTAGATTTTTACGCGAATCCACAGCCCTGCTAAAAGGTGTCCAAGGTTTCTAAAATTTAACGTTTTTAAAATTTCAGATAACAGAATAGGAAGCGAAGAACATCAAATGGATATTAACAATTTAGCTGGAGTTTTTCTGTGTTATTTGGGAGGTCTTTTTGTTGCGCTCTTGTACGTAACTATCCTGTGGATAAAAGAAAAGACCAAGAGCAAGAAGAAAACAGTTGTTTCACCCAATGTAAATAATATATATATATATATATATATATATAGTAGTTTTTGTTCAGAAATATCTATAAATTATTTTATACAATAAGAAAATTCTGTTTTATCAGCCAGATCATAGTTTTATATCGTAAGAAGACTCTTCTGGATGATTCTTCTTCACTTTGCTGTTCTTCACATTTTCTCACTAAATTCAGTATTGTAGATTTAAAAATTGTAATTTTTCTAAATGAATATATTTTAATTGGTATTAAAAAATAATAGTTTAAAAAATAAAAGTAAATGAATTTCAAAAATAAAAAGTAATAATCTATATAAATGACAATGTTTGTTTGTTTTTTGTTCGCTATACACGCCTAGGCTGTTCGACCAATCGGCAGTTACGTTTATATAATGCTAACTTAGATAATGTTGAAATTCCACCCCAAAATATCTGGATTTATGTAAATCAATTAATTTTTAAGTACTTATGGGTTAAGAGGACGCCAGTCGGAAATAGCGTTTTTTCCAAATAATGCAATTTTTTATTTGTCAAATTTAATAAAATTGTTAAATCAAACAATAAATTACGATTTATAAAGATATTACAAAATTTCACAAACTGTACTAATAAACCACTTGAATATGCAAATTGTTTTGTAGTGTGTATGGCAAATAGGCGATATCTATCATCCTAATTGATTTTTTTCATTTTTACAACCTTATTACTAAATTTTCTTCTTTTTAGATTTAAATTTACTAGTTTATTGTTATTTTGATATTTTCATTCAAAATCGCGACTTTGATCACTATTTCCGATTGGCGTCCTCTTAACCCATAAGTAGTCTACCAATTTTTATCTCCATACTGTTTGTTCAAGGTCTGTATAAGAAGGTCGGGACACGCTCCCGTGATTCCATGCGGCAGCGGCCATTTTGGGACTCATCGATAGAGCTCACCATACGTGGTTCTTCCATGAGTCGACTATTATTACTCATATACGTACTCAAAACGTTAAGCAATGGATTATTCTGTTGCACCTAATTGTAAAAGTAAGTCTACCGACGTTCGATTGTTCAGATTTCCTGCAGATAAGCGGAGGAAAGCAAAATGTAGCGTAGGCATCAACTGATGGTTCATGATGCAGTTCAAAGAGTTTATATGTTTAAAGTTTGTAACAAGTGGTCTAAACGAGTAGATACTCTTCGTGTCCATGAACGAACTAAACATGGAAATTTATAAACGATATTGGCAATCCAGATATAAAACAAATGTAATTTTTTCATTTTTCTATCTGGTGATAAAATAATTAAGCATGTAATTGTTTTAATATGACCATATTGTATTTAAAAATAAAATTATGATGATG